TTAAAAGATGTATACAATGCCATGAACTAAAAAGACTGTTGAGATGCCCCTCCTTGTTCTCTGTACTGCATCAGCTGAAGAAAACAACAAGTTCCCAAAGCCAAATGGAAAACTTTTCAAAGGATCAGCTATATTATCAAATGGATTGACATGCTCCTGGTTCCAACTGTGACATGCCAATAATCTAATTATATTGCCTGCCAGACTTCCTTAGCAGGATGTTATTCAGTGCTAATGTACTATGCTTCATATTTCTAAAAATGAAAAATCAAGATCTAAGAAGTGGCTGTAGTGACTCTGTCATTATATCTAAAATATGCCCTTTTTTCTCTTTATTAGTGAAGTGCACTGATGGCCAAGAGTCACACTTTCATGGTTCTCTGTTCATCTTTAACTAGCAGCTCAGAACAACATGGAAGGGATTTAGAACTAAAATTGGGAAAAGTCAATTCTAATTGAGTCTCCTTTACATGAAATTTTGCTCCTTCTCACTGTAAAGTGTCAGTGACTAATCAACTGAACTGAGGAATGAGAACTCTCCAGTTCAAATCTATGCTTTGTCTTGAACTCCTGAACCAACATTCAAAATCCCTGAGTATGCATATTTCTGTAGCAGAGCTAAAGGATATGAAATAGTCATAGAATCCTAGAATTATATTATTGACCATCTACTCCAATCTCTTGCCATGCAACAATGCACAAATCCTATTCTTTCCAATTTGTCGTCAATCCACTCCTTTGGGCTTCACGCAGATCTGCCACTTGCCAACGATCCTATGCTTTTCTTTTCCATTCCTGGCCAAATAGCTGAATCATTGGTTCATCCCACTGAGTCTGAGGTCTGCCCAAGGCCGCTTGTGGTCTTTTGGTATCCTGTTCATGAGTCAACATGTCCTTTATTGGTTGCCTTGTGTTCGTGCTCTATACCCTGCTCATCTTCTTTATGCTTCATAGATTTCATTAATCACGTCAGGTATCCTGGTTCTTTGACTCAGCAATTTGTTGCTGACTTTACCTCTTATTGTAATGTCACACATCCTTTTTTCCATTACTCTCTGAGTCACCACCAGTTTTTCCTTGCCCATGTTTCAGATGCATATAAAATTACTGGTAAAACAGTCATGTTGAAGATACCTGCTCTGACCTTCACTGGCAGCTTATCATATGTTACCACTGTCCGTTTTCAATGAAAAACCATCCAAGTCAGTTTGCGACTTCTTGCCCATTTGCCAAATTATTTGACTGTACTTGTTGTCCAAGATATACATATTCAGTCACTTCCTCAATTTCATCCCCATTTATAACAATGCAGGCCTGGACACACTGCTCATTTTTCATCCATTTTGTTTTCTTCAAGTTTATTTCCAGTCCTACTGATTTTGAGAGTCAACCTAGTTGTTGGAGATCATGTTGTAAATCTTCCAGATTTTTGGCAAAAAGGATGCAATCATCTGCGAAGGGGAATGAGAAAGTTGTTCACCATCAATTTAAATTTAATAAAATTTAATATTTCAGAAGAGGCTTTCCAAAGTCGCCGCAAACAGTTTTGGCGATATTGTGTCTCCTTAATGCACTACTTTGTTTATTCTGATATCACACACTTCTGTCAACAGTTTATATACATTGCACACCCTGTATTTATGCTTTTATGATGTTCACGTATACCGGATTTACACTGGCTTGGTGCAGAGCATTAAGGATAGCATTGATCTCAACTGAGTTGAAGGCCTTTTGGTAATCAACAAAAGCAAGACAAACTGGAACTTGATATTCTCTGCTTTTCTCCATTAACTGTTTGACTGTGTGGATATTATTGAGGGTAGAGTAGTCTGAAGCCTACTTGTTCTCTGTTGATTTCCACATCTTGAGATATTCTTTGTAGCAGGATCCTTGTGAACTGTTTATATAGTTGGGAGAGGAGTGTAATAGGACAATAGTTGCTAAGGTTTTCTGTGTCTCCTTTCTTCATTAGAAGTATGGTTTCAGACATTGTCCAGTCTCTAGGTAAGATGGCACTTAAGTATTGCATAAAATGTTTAGCAATCATCTTTTTAAGATTATAACCTCCTGCCTTTAGGTGTTCTATTCTTATTCCATCCTTTCCTGGGCATTTATCTGGCTTCATTTTACTTACGACCACATCTACCTCACTCAATAATACTATCAGGATTTCTTCTGTCTCAGCATGCGGTTTGACTTTGGCTACCTGCACTTTGGAATTGTATGAGTTGTTATAGAAGTCTTTGCATATCTGTTTCATTTCCAGTCTATTTGTTACACACATTCCATTTTCGTTTTTTAGTGCAATTGGTAGCCTTTTCTTCATTTGCAGCTGCTTCTCCTCTTTTTAAAAACTTTTCTTGTTCTCCGAAGCCTCTCTTAATTGCTTAATCCGATATTTGTCATAGTCTGCCTGTATTCTCTTTTGAATTTTGTTGCAAAGTTGTTTGTACTCCTCCCGTTTTGCTTTGCCATCTATCTATTCACTGAGCTTTGACTGCCATTAAGTGTTTTGTGCCTTGTCAGAGTCTTCTAATCTTTGTTGGAGGCATGAATTCACTTGAAAGATCAATTGACTTTTTAACTTTTCCCACAAACATTTCATAATCTTCATTGACATTGGCACTTCTGATCAAGAAATTGGTTGCCTCCAGGGCTACTGATAGTGTGGCTGAAGTGATTGTCTTTTTAGGTGATTTCTTTCTTCTAAGGATTCCTATTTTTCTGCTGAAGTTAACTGTTATCGAAGAACAGATGAATTGATGATCTGAGCCTGTACATATGATCTTTTCACCAATAACGGAGACATCACTGAATATTCTTTTTGTATATGAAAGTACATAATCAATTTTGTTTCTGGTCTTATCATTGGGACTTCTGCAGGTGCTCTGTCTCACTGCCTGCTTTTGGTGGTACGTGTTCATTATGTGCTGCAAATGCACAAATATGAGTGCATTTACACTGTGGAATTAATGTAGTTTCACACCACTTTAACTGCCATGGTTCAATGTTATTGACTCATGTGAGTTGTAGTTAGGAGAGGCTCCAGAACTCTTTGATAGAGATGGCTAAAGTCCTTGAAAAACTGCAACTCCTGTGATTCCATAGATAAACAACAAAGGTTTTCTGTAATATGGTTGTTAAACTTCCTCCAAAGAAAGAAAAATCCACTATTCTCTAAGGCAACCTACTCTACTGTTAAGCACTTCTAATGGTCAGGAAGTTCTTCCTAATATTTAAGTGGAACATCTTTCCTTTTAACATGATTCCACTGCTTTTTACTACTTGCATTACAGAAGGGAGGCCAGTCATCTGATCTCCTCCTGCAAATGGATTGTTGTGAGTTTTCCAGGCTGTATGGCCATGTTCCAAAAGCATTATTTCCTGATGTTTTGTCTGCATCTATGGCAGGCATCCTCAGAGGTTGTGAGCCCCAACAGCTGAAATGCAATGCCTACAAAGCATGTAATTTATCATTGAGCTTTGGACATTTCCATGAACTGTGTGAAAGTTGTAATTATATTATCCACTCCCATTCAGCAGCAATGTCAATAAACCCTGTCCATGTGGCCAACCTAGAGGAGTGCCACTTGTGTTTGGAAAGCTGATCCAAATCATCTTATTCCCAGAGTTGAAGAATTTCAAGCCCCTTCCACACAGCTCAATGAAATCCCACATTTTCTGCTTTGAACTGGAATATATGGCAGTGTGAACCCAGATAACCAGTTGAAAGCAGATTTTGTGGATTATCTGCCTTGATATTTTAGGTTATATGACTGTGTGGAAGGGTCCTCAGTGATATCCTAGATGAATGGAGACCACTTGAGTAAAACCAACTCCCATGCGGCTTGGGTACATAATAGATCGAATTACTGTCATAGCTTCTCCAAGTTTCTGAACTGGCTCTAACTGGATATAAACATATCTTGAGGTTGGAATAACAGAAAACACTCCATTCAGGGAGACTGAGGCCCCTTCCACACATCTGTTTAAAATCCATATTGAATTGGATTATCTGGCATGTGGACTCAGATAATCAAATTCAAAGCAGATATTGTGGATTATCTGCCTTGATAATCTGGGTTACATGGTTGTGTGGAAGGGTCCTGAATGATCAGGAGATACATTCTAGCTGTGGAGTCTTCACTATCTCTATCTGGAGCAGAAAAACTCAAATGCTGGCCTAGAGAAATGTTTCCATTTTAAAATCCTGCTTGGGAGAAGGGGTGATCCATGTTCAAAATCTGAGTTTGGGGATATTCCAGAAAAGCCTGAAGAACAGGGCCAAATGTAAAACTGCTCAGTTACTCTGGCAGTGCTGTTACTGGTACAATGTTGTCTTACAGCCAGTTTCTTGTTGGAAGCATTGGCTGGCTGGACAGCTCCTCTGCTAATTCAGCATCTCTTGCCAAGGACTTCCACCTATGATCTTGCATTTTGGACAGCTCCTCCTTTCATCATTATAGGGGTGAATTCTGCCAAGCAGCTTCATGTTGGTAGGAATTGAACAATTGCACATACTTTTTCAGCACCTGCATGCCTCAGAGCAGAAGGAAGGACCAGACCAGGAATTCCGACACTTCCATCAATTAATAATGGCTGTTGGCTTCCATGCTGATGTGGCACTCAATCTATTCTGGAGTTGGCTTTGGCTTTAGAGGAACCATCCAGGTGTTGAAAAACATCAATCAAACAAGTTCTTTTGATTGTTTGAATAGTTCCTTCAATGTTAGGCAAGATAACTAGCACAGGTTTATCGTTACATGGGCATGAATGGAGATGTTTGTGATGCCAGAACCTAAAGAAGCCATGAATGGCCTGAGAGTTCTCCTGCTGCTATATTATTATTCCAACTTTTGTAGCTTAACTTTATGTTGCAAACCTTCACATTATAAACTGATTCTGGTGTTTCAGAAGCAGACGTGCAGTATATAAATTCAGTAAGTCAATAAAGAAATTAGCAACTATTGAAGAAACATTCATAATATGTGTCAATTAGCTACTGATATATATGTATTTATTAAGATTGGGATGTTTAGTCAATTCATCAATTATATTATTGATTTTTTTAGAATATTTGATTATCAGTTAGATTATTTGATTATTTGAATATGTTCAAAAGGTGCCTCAGTTAATTGGACAATTTCAAAAGTATTGTTGAAGACTTTCACAGCCAGAATCATTGGGGTGTTGTATGATTTCCAGGCTGTATGGCCATACTCCAGCAGAATTTTCTCCTGGCATGTCACTTGCATCTGTGGCTGGCATCTTCAGATCCTGTGGCTGAAAAGGACGAAGGGAAACTTCTGTGACACAGGCATCAAAAACCCGTCCCATGGATGATGAAATGTATTGAACTGAATGGTGATGATGTGGAAAAATAATGTAATACCTATGCTACAATCCATGTAAGTTTTATTAAAATATATTCATTTTTTGTATTAAAGAAAATTGTAACCTTACTTTCTGGATAACCCTTGTAGCTGGTCCCCTCCTGAATTTGGTAAAGGATCATGTCATCTTCATTGTTGCCATACTGAATAAATACTTCACTGTATTATAATTTGAACTTAAAGAAGAACATGAAAAATGATTGGGTGAGCTTGGGCCTGCCACAGCTTGACTTATCTCACAGAGTAGTTATTATGATAAAGTGAGGTGAAGTTGAGAAATAAATATGTCACCTTGTGCTTTCTAGAGGAAATGGACAGAAAAGAATGAAGAGTACAATCTCATGTTTACCCAATTGCCTCTATTATTCCAGTAAAAGCTTCTGAACAATTGGCCCAAAAAGTATGTGACATGATTACGAACCCCATTTTGAACATTTGCATTATTATGGACCCCACTCTAAAGATGTGGCTTAATTTTACTTTGGCTTTCATCTCCTTTTCTCCCCCAAATCCTCTTTTGCCACTCTCCAAGATTTAATTTTGCTAACACCCATGTAAAGTCCTCTCTTCTATGAAGAGATTTCTGGAGTATTAGAAGTAATATTGTTAACACCAAGTAAATTACTTAGAATTCTGGCTTCTTCTGAATTCTCCAGAGCCTCCACAAGGTCATGTCTTGTCTGTCTTGGGGAACAACTTGTCTGACTGAATCTGTCGCTATCAGGAAGAGGTGGGGCGTGAGGTCAGATATGATCACCAGGTTGATCCTTTTTTTTATTAAGGCGGAGGACATCCTTAACCTGGAGAAAATGTGGGTTTTGTCAATGAATTCCATTTTTCATGGCATGCATAATAAGCAGTAATGCAGACGTGCCCTTGAGACAGAAGGATTGTCTCTGAAGTGAGAAACAAATATGACAATTCTCTTCAGTCACACAAAATAAGGGTAGAAAATATATTGAAAGAACCAGACTGCAAAGTAGTTTGCAGGGGGGTGGGGGGAGCAAGGATGAATCTTACAGAACAATAAAATGTTTGAAAAGCAATCTTCAATACAGCTGCAAACTCGGCGAAGTCAGCAAAAGTGGGAAAACAACAGCATCCAACATTTTATTGTTGCTAATTAGTGACTTGTTTCTCCACTTCAAATTTAGCGCCCACATGACCGGGTGGGAAGTCATTCCAATTATATTCATTTATGGATATATCAAAATTATCTTTTTTTCCCGAAGGTTTTAATTCCAGTTTTGGGTGGATGTGGGCATGTGCCTCAGATCAAAGCCTGAAGGGATCCAGAAGATAAAATGCTGTTTTAAAGATTGACTTGTTTCTGGCGTGGGTAGCTGGGCAGGGAGTCTGGGAACATACAGAAATAACTGACTTCAAATCCCATTGGATCCTGAATGTGTTCTGCTTTGATAATGAAAAAGATTTTGGCTCAATTCCAACTGTAGTCATTGGTGGACCAAAACAGGACATGGAAATGTCTTTTCTCAATTGCCTTGAGAGATCTGAGCTTGGAAAGCTCCTTTTCAAAATAATTATAGCTGTAGTTCCAGGGGGCAAAGTATCAATAGTCTTCATTATATTCATCATTTTGAAAGTAACTCTTTACTTTTCTATTTCTCAGAAGTAAAATGGTTCCTCTAAGTTCCTTAAAAGATTTGAATTCATCAAACAACTGACTCGTAATACAAAAAGCACTCTGTTTGTGGGTGTTGACACTTCAACACACATAAGCGAACATGAGGGGTCAGGTTCTTTTTCAACCATTTAGTGAAGTCATGCAATCTATCACCACAAAGGTTACTAGGGAAGTTACACTTACACTAGGGAAAAAGCATTTAGCTTTCTTCTGATAACCACTGTAATTATACCTCTGTTATATGAGGGACACATGAATTAGGTAGCTATTTGTAACTAGTAATTTCTAAGTTCTGCAAAAGATTGATAAAACCACCTCCGGCTTGATAAATGCCGCAGTGTAGTTGAGGTCATAGAAACATAGGAAACTGTCTGAATATTAAGTCAAATACATCTGGTGCATTTAGATCATTGTGTTCTACCAATTAGCAGCATCTTTACAGCTTTTTAGTCACGAATCTGTCCTAGCCATACCTCTAGGTCTGGAATGAAAGCTAATTTTTGGCATGCAATCCATGTGCTTACCATCAAACCTTTGCCTTATAGCTACAGCACTTTTCACATCATCTGTGCCTTTTGTAATCTTTTCCATCAAGATCTCCCTTGCTAGCTAAAAATGTTGGCATATTGGAGAGATGTGGAATTTTAGCTAATTTACTAGCAGCTGCAAAATTCTGGCAGCTTACTAAAGTGGGGAAGAAAGTATTATTCAACTGAATGGGAATACTGAAGAGGAAAACTAATGAGGAGCTGTATCCAGAATTTGCTTCCTGGCAGTTTCAGGGAACTTTCACCTTCACCTTCACCTTCACACTCTGCAGCTCATGCCAATCACAGGATCCCCCAACTATCAGATAACATGATTGGTGGGCTGGAGGAACTGCCATGGAGTGGAAGGCTCTGCAAACAGAAGCCAACTTCTGCCATTCCAGTTGCATGATTTACAGGGCTTCAAAGAAGTATTCACTTACACAAACATTGAACTTTTCCACATTTTGTTGTGCTGCTACCTAGACTCAAATAGGTTTCATTGGCATGGTTACCATTTGATGTGAAAAAGACACCCAATACTTTGACTGGAGTGCAGAAAAATAATCTGAGAGTGGTTAACTCTCAGATTGGCATAAACAAGAATAATCTGAGAGTGGTTGGTTGCCTAAGGCCCCATCTATATTGCCATATACAGTAATGCCATTTGAAACTGCATTATATGCTCAGTTAACTCATATAATGCAGTTAAACTGCTTTGTACGAATCGACACTGACCATACAATACATTATATGACATTGTAGATGGGGCCTCAGTATCTATCCCACCATCTGGTAGATGCACTTTTGGCAGCAAGTAGAGCTGTACATCTTTCTAATGTAAGTATGAGTTTTGCCTATATGAATCCTATGATATTCACTCATTCGTCTTGCAAAAATTACATTGTCAGATTGGATGGAAACAGTTGGTGAACAGTAACACACAACTCCTACCATGGATTCTCTGTTGGATTGAGGTCTGTACTTTGACCTTCTTGGCTCAGACTGGATTAAAACCTGGCAGTGAAAGTTTGCATTTCTCCAGCTCTCCTTCACCATTTCCCCATCCGGATGCTTTTCCCAGTGAAGATGTTTAAAAAAATTCCAACTAAACAAAGACAAGGAAGAAAAAAAGACATGGATTAAGTATAAAAAGACTTTGAAAAAGGAGCTTTCTTTGTCAGAGCCTTTGTTAATGGTTGTATTATTGTACATGTGTAGCACATTTCCTAATACACACATTTTAAAGCATATTTTTTAACCTACACCTTTTAATGCACTTTCCCATGAGAGCGTTAGTCAGCCACATGCATTAGCTTGCATATAATTTAGAAGAAGGAAAGACTCTTAATTCTCAGGGTTTTCTTCTGATGACATTGAACTGAAAGACATGCACGTGCTTTCATTGACTGTCTCGCAGACTGTGAATTACATACATTCAATTTAAAAGATTTATGCAAATTTCTTTCCCTTCCCTATGTACAGCCACCCACCAGGCAATTTCACTCACAGCACTCTGGGATTGACTTGTTTCAGTTTTACTGTTTTCAAGAAGAAGTGGGTTACAACACCCAGCCCATGTGATGCTGTTTTCTCTGTACACAAACAGTTCATAGTGCAACACTAAATGCAATAAGCAATGATATAAAAATGCTTTTTTGATGTAGCTATAATGGAGACTGGATCTTTAAATAGTCAATGTTTTTTAGCCCAACAAAGGCATGGTGTAAAGGTGTGTGTGTGTGTGTCTTTGAGTCTTCGTGTGTTTGTCCATTTACAAATATATATAGTAGCAAAAATGTCACATTTTGCTTCTTTGTTTGAGCTACCTTGGGGATTGTTTACATGTGTAAACCAGTAGTCCTTCCACTTAATAATCATTTGGATTCACATGTCTCATGATAAATATTAGAAAAATGAAATTAAACCTGGGAAGTGAGATTATGAATATGAAATAGTTTTTTTGACATGTCCAGCTTATAAACTGTAGCACTATGGCAATGCCAGGAGCATGCCATAGCAGGATATTAACTACAGTGTTTCCATGCCATGCAGAAGAAATTGGGGAAAGTCCTGAATGTGAGCTTGATTATTAGGCACACAAGTGTGCGCTGAACTTGTACACACAATTGCATTCTTAATTTGTGCACTCATTTACTGCGATTGTGTGCAGAAATTGAATAATTACCCATAAAACAGTTAATTGCCATTATCTGTGTGCATAATGACTTGATCCACATGTACATTCATGTTAAATATGCACAGAAATTAGGTATCACATAATTGCATGACTTACCTTATTAAAAACAAAGCTCAATTGATTTGTTTCAAATTGCACTTGCTCAATGCAGCATATGTGCACACACATACACGTATGCACACACAAATTAGCATTGGTTTTAAATTTCTGACATAAAACAAAGACATTGTACAACCTGAGATCATCCAAAGACTGTAGCTGACATACTTGCCACATCAGAGAAATATGTATTAAAAGATCAATAGAAATCCTATTGTAATGGTTTTAGAGTTGTCTTCTGGAGGACACTCATGTTTCTTGGAGTCATGTGAGAGCTTTCTGAGAGAAAGAGTAGTAATTCAATATTGTTTTCAATATTGACTGGCATCCTGTTAGTGAATTATGATTGGATAGGTCAGATAATGTCCGATTTTAGAAGCTAGCAGGGTCAGCCCTGGTTAGTAGTTAGACAGGAGACCACCAGCAAAAAATAAGTGCTGTAGGAAGTAATCAGCAAAGCCAATTCTGAGTATCCCTTGTGAAAGAAAACCCTACGAAAATCATGGGGTTGCTATAATTCAACAGGCAACTTGAAGGCATAAGTCATAGATATACAGTAGAGTCTCGCTTATCCAACGTAAAAGGGTCAGCAGAACGTTGGATAAGCGAAAATGTTAGATAATAAGGAGGGGTTAAGGAAAAGCCTATGAAATGTCAAATTATGTTATGATTTTACAAATTAAGCACCAAAACATTATGTTTTACAACAAATCAACAGAAAAAAACAGTTCAACACACAGTAACGTTACATAGTAATTACTGTATTCACAAATTTAGTACCAAAACATTGCAATGTACTGAAACAGCTGTGAATCTGGGCAGGAGACAGACTGTGCTGGATAATACAGAACATTGGATGTTGGATAAGTGAGACTCTACTGTACCATCAAAACCCACTTTTTTTAATCATTTGAGAGCTTTAAGTTGTCTTCTGAAATTCTACCCTCAAAAAAAAAATCTTGTCAGCAGTGCAGCCTCTCCCTAAAACACAACAAAGTCTGTGTTATTAGAGGACAGGGAGATCTGTAGGGATATTTTCCTGTAGCTGTAGACACTGGAATCAGCCACCTTCAGATACCTCCCAGGTACCTTGGGAGATCCCTGTGGCTCACATCTCTGCAATTCATCCAAATCCAGAAAAATAGCTGGATACATCCCTGTAGATCCCCCTGCTCTCTAACAACATGGAGATAGCCATAGATGACTGGGGAAGCTTACGAGGTCGGTTTTGGAGGGGAAGTATTGGAAAATGCAGCTATGGAGATAGCTATATTATACATGTACATCTCTTATCCTGAAATCCTCTAATCCAAAATTGTCTATGTGAGCGGCTAAAATTGTGACACTTTTACTTCCCAGTGGTTCTATGTACAAAATCTTTGGTTCATGCTCAAAATTATTACAAATATTCCGTATAAAATTACATTCAGGTTAAATTACAAGGTGTATATGTAATGTCAATGAATTTTAGACTTGAGTTCCAACTCCAATATTATTTATTTATTTATTTATTTATTTATTTACTACATTTTTATTCCACCCCTCTCAGCCCATAGGTGACTCAGAGCGGTTTACAGTCAATATCAAAGACATAAAATACAATTTAAAAACAATCAATTTAAATATAAAACCAAGTAAAATAATCAATAAAAACATATATCAATTTGAGTCTCCTAGTTAAAAGTGCTATCTAATATCATCGTCGAGTCATTACATTTTTCTCTATGTCTGTTATATTGTGTCTGCAAACGCTTGCTCAAAGAACCATGTCTTGACCTGCTTTTGAAATGTTAAAAGGGAAGGGGCTGATCTAATATCCCTGGGGAGGGTGTTCCATAGCCGAGGGTCCATCACTGAGAAGGCCCTGTCTCTCGTCCCCGCCAACCGTACTTGTAACAAAGGTGGGATCGAGAGCAGGGTCTCTCCAGACGATCTGAAAGTCCTTGATGGTTCACAAGGGGAGATGCTTTCAGACAGGTAAGTTGGGCCAGAACCGTTTAGGGCTTTATAGGCTAAATCTAGCACTTTGAATTGTGCCCAGTAGCAGACTGGCAGCCAGTGGAGCTGGCACAACAGAGGAATTGTGTGCAATTAGCAACATGGCTGCCACTCGCTGGACCATCTGGAGCTTCCGGACAGTCTTCAAAGGCAACCCCATGCAGAGAGCATTGCAGTAGTCTATATGGGATGTAACCAGAGCATGGACTACCATGGCCAAGTCAGACTTCCCAAGGTATGGGCGCAGCTGGCGCACAAGATTTAATTATGTGAATGCTCTCCCGGTCACTGCCGAAACCTGGGGTTCCAGGCTCAGCGATGAATACAGGATCACACCCAAGCTGCGAACCTTGCATATAATAATATTATATATTATATGCAAATACAGGCATTCCAAAATCATTCATTCATACACACATACATTTCCAAAATCCAAAATAGTTGGGGTGTGATTTCTGGGCAAGAATTGTTCAAGAATGACACTTAAAACTATTCCAAATGCACACCTGTTCAGGATATTTGAGGTGAGTTGGGAAAACCTGAAATCCCAAAACTTGAATTCTCATCTCATCTCAAATACCCCTTTTGTCCCCTTTTCTCCTTCAGAATGGAGACAGGAAATGATATGATATCACTTCTGGTTTCCACTTGAAAGAAGAAACAAAGGAGGGAAGTGTATTCTGGGAGGTGTAGGGGTGCAGCCTGAAGTGTGTGTTCAATGCAGTTACCTATCCTGTATGTTGCCCATCACTATTGCTTTCTTGGTTTCACAGATATTGCTTCACAGTAAATCAGATATGCAATCATTGAACTATCTACTTGTGTTTGGTTTGCAACTTCCAGTAGCCTATCCAGATTAACTTGTAGTGAGGAATCCTGGGAGTTGCAGTCCAACCACACCTGGAGGGCTGACTTATTTCCACCCCTGTGGTAAGTGATAATGTGAATGACTGAAAAAATTCCACAGTGCAAAAATGTCACCCCTCCCTCTCTGAGTATGTGTGTATGTTTGTGTAAAGAAGGCATTCAAATTTCAATGAGAAACACATGGTTATCATATTGGTGAAGATCTCAATATAATAGACAGAGGCAAATCATTTGAAGAGCCAGGTGTCAAAATATGTCAAAAAGCATCATTTTAGTACTTTACGGGAAGAAAGAACCATATGACTCCTCCAGAAGATGTTTTTCTATATTCTGATCAATGGTAATTCAGTTAAAATAATTCAGGAATTCTAACATGGATCTTTGCACCTGTTAGGTAGTTTACATCTTCGAGAGTGCTTTTTAAAATTTACTTAATGAATCTGGGTTGACTAATATTCTCAGCAATTAAGGAAAATATGAACAAATATAATAGTGAATGGGCTAGATTGCATGCATTTAAAATAAAATGCTTGATGGGAAAAGGTCATAAGGCACATGAATTTCAAATGCAGACAAAAACTGCTTGTAATTTCATGCCCCAGTCATGTGATACAAGAGAGAGTGAGGATTAGCTCTGTTTTTCTATGACAACATTCTGCCCAGATCAACTGCCTTTCACAAATTGGGAAGGCAAATCTTTGGAGCAGCCAGGCAATGAAGCCATCAGTCATGACATGACAGGGAGGGTGAAGCCAACATTTCACCCATATTCTTCCATCCTCGATATGGAACACCTAACATTAAATCCAGTGTTAAATTAGTGTACTTTCAGAGAGCAGATAGATTTTTCCCCCTTTCTATCACCTCCAGCAGCATTCACCTTTCAAAAACATGTTTCTGACTTCTGGAATTGATTTTGAGAAGGTCTGTGTGGGAATTG